TCTTGATTTCTTCATTTGACGGATTTTTGTACCTGAATTGTCATTACCAGATTGACTAATCTTAGAATCTTGATTCGAAATTGCGGTTTTGGTGTTTAAGACTTTGTCAGAGTGACATTTCATGTGTCCAAACAAGGCCTTCCAAGACTGAAAACCTTTTCCACATTCTTTACAAAGCTTATCAAGAACAACCAAACAGTCGTCGTGGGGTTCACTTGAATCTTTTGCTTTCAAAGTCTTTTTGGGATCTTTTCTCAGCTCATAACCCAAATCATTCGAGTTTGAAGAGCCATTGAGGACTGATGCGCTGTTGTTATCCATCATGTTTCTGTCATTGTTGTTGACAGATGAGAGCTTCGTCTTGTGATGATGATCGGTGGAGTTGATCACGTGAGACCTCATGTGACCTCCCAAGGATCTACCACAGGGGAAGCTTTTGTTGCACAGCTTACACATGTGTTTCATAAGTTCTCGATCACTTTGTTGCACTGAATTTTGATTGGACTTAAACATTTTCAACGAACAAAAGGTCAAAATTCAGATCAGATTGTAAGCTAAAGTGGTCCAAGGACAGAGGATGATGATGAATTCTCAAAGAAACAGAGAATTTAAGCTTGAAAAAATGAGAATTTAAGAACACAGAGATCAAGACACAAGAACAAAAGCTTAAATCTCGGATTGCATTTTATTTTCAACAAGAACATGCCTTAAAAGTTGAATACTGAGAATTGTGAAACACCCAGATCAAGAAAGACGATCAAAAGCTCAAATCGTTAGTTGGTATCCGGTCTTTCTGCCGACTGAAACGACTAACAAAGAACCCATCTCAGATTCGATTTGTTCTTCGCAAGAACGCGACTTGAAAAAATTTCAACCGAAAATTGAGACACGCGAAGATCAAGAAACACGATTAGAAGCCCAAATCTTTGGTGGGTTTTCAATCTTCTTGCAGAATGAAATGAAGAATAAAGAAGAACCCATCTCAAATTGCATTTTGTAGCTCAGCAAAAACAAGATCCAATCGCGTTAAAATGAGAACACAATAACTAAATTGAAGCTACACTCGAGTAGTAGTCAAGAATCGAAGCAAAAAAGATCAGAAATCTGAAAAAGAGATGATGGGTCGGTTACCTTTCTTGCTAATGATGACGATGAACAAGCACACCCTCTCTCTTTCTCTCTGTCTGAACTTTTATCAGTTTCTCTCTCTAGAAATATATATGTAAGCAGAGAGACAGAAGAGAGAGATGAATAGGCTATAGTTGGAGGGAGAAGGAGAAATCCATGCATGGAAATAAGGATAAAAAGAGGCAAAAGCAACGTGTACTCAGCTAAGTATCCTACGCCAAACGCCAATCCGACGGCTTAAATTGCTCCACATTGGGCATCTCCAAACCGGTGGCCTCATGATTGTTGCCCTACAATTCCTAATTTTGCCATGATCTCTGTAATTTATCTACCCACAGAAATATAAACATTAATAAACAATGGTGTGGGTCTCTTACACCTCATATCTTCCTTCAATGAATTAACCTAATACTCCCAATCAGGACATGCCAAGTGTCGCACTTATTCCTAAAGTATTTGGCCTTATTAATTAACAAGGGCAATCTCGTCATTTCCTAACGCAAAATGAAGAAGCAAATGCAATGACTGGTAAGTTGGACAAATGAGAAAAAGGGACCCACTAAACCAACAAGAAGTTTGTGAAGTAAAGAATCTACAAGCCTGCATATGGAAGCTAAAAGCTTTTTTGTGCTAAACAAGCATACTAGTAGTAGTGGTAGTAGGCTAGTGGCATTTTCGTCACTTCACATCAAAAGCAACCCAATATTTAAAACATTTTTAAAAAACTATTTTTATATTAATTCTTGATAAAAAAGAGAAACTTTTAATACAAATTATTTGCAAATATCTAAATACTACATGACTTTTTCAAGTGTTCTTTTTTAATTATAATTAAAGAAATAATATTTCTCAGTAACAAAAACTTACAAATTTGAAGAAATTAAATATTTTCATATTGTAGTGTGATAACAAAATATGAAAAAGTTATTATTTTTTTGGTTAAAAAAATATATAATCATCACTCATTTTTTTACCTTAAAATACACAAAAAAGGTATATAAGAGATTAAAGAGCCGGCTTTCCTCATTGCTCAAACCGGAAACGTTAATGTCCTATTATGAGATTTATCATTCATGGTTGATAACTATCTTAATTAAGCGTTAATTGTATCGTTTAAGCCGGCATCTTAGCACAATGTTTAGCTGTAGCACAAGTGCAAGTGCTTACAAGATAACAACTAACTTTTATTTTATTAGTTTTGGTCCTTACTTTTAGATTCTTTTGGCATACAAGTCCAATTCATGACATGTGCATGCACATAATTTTGTGATTACTTAATCCAACGGTCAGGATTGACTTGTTGCAATAGAATGGACGGTTCTAAAAAACTTTAAGTTACAAATAAAATGTACAAACTTTGTTGCATAAACTACAAAGTATATGTAGAAGAATATTTATGATTAGTTAAAAAAAGGATTATTGATGCCTAATGCTAAGCACAAACATACACACATGTAGTGGCATTAATTAAGCTTCACTTATGAGACAAGAGAGAGAGTAGACAAATGCATGACTAAAAGTGATGTTGATCAAGTTGACAACCCATTTAACCCTTCAAGGCAAGTTTTGGTCACTCTTTGTCTTCTATTCCATGCCATTTTGTATACATTTTTAGGCCAAAATAAGATGCCTTACTTTGATCTTTATGCCCTTTGTGGTTTTAAAAATGTCACATACAAAATTTATTTTGTATCTGTTTGTATATGTATTTATACAACATCATTTCACCTTTTTCTTTATACAGAATATACCACAATAATTCATTTTAGAACCAAATGATGTGGAATTTTATCGAGAGCATGTTTCACCACCGGTTGAACCATACTTGTGTAATTTATGTCAACAAAAATTGATAAAATAATTAAAATATTGTATAAATTGGTAAAAATGTGAAACATCGTTGCATAAATAAATATTTAAGTGATGTTTTGGTTCTAAAATTAAAAGTGGTTGTATATTTCCGCAAAATTAAACTATTTTATTACATAACTTGAAAAAATATTATTGTTTAAATATGTACGTGGACCTTTATATAAACCTATTTAATTGTGGGAATATCTTTATTAAAAAGATGAACCAACTTCCAATTAGTCTTTAAACCACAAGTTTAAGCAAAATAGGAGGTGAGCTTTTAGTGCATGAAGGAGACTCATAACCATTTGAAGTGCTTGATTGCCCCAAAAGCAATCTTGTTGTATAAAGTAAAGCATGTGAGTGCTTAATTGGTCATCAACATTAACTGGTTATTAATTAATTCTTAATCCCAAAGAATTTATTATTAGGTTATGACCACATCAAGCTTTAATCATACATCATACAACTAAACCCTTCTCCAAAATTAACAACTATACAATTTTCTGTACTATTTTGAATTTAAAATTATTGATTTGAAGAAGGGATCTATAAATCCAAAATCTATATGTTATCGTGATGAAATCAACATTGCTCGCGAAAAAGAAAATAAATTAACTTGTTATAAGTTACAAATTTTACTCTTTTGTTCCACAAGGATCTTGTATGTATTGTATACCAATCATAATAAAGTGCATGTGTTCCTTTACAAAAGTGATAATGGTTTCATGTGTTTAATAAACAAGTTTCTCACCAGCCATGCTTAAAAAATACTCTTTAACAAAGAGTCAATCAAACCAAACCAAAATAAACTCCTTAAAAATTCAAATGGTGGGACCCACTCTCTTGGATCAAGCAACCATTAAGATTACTAAGATAAAAGACTTAATTTAATGTCACTAAACTAACATGAACAAACTGTTAAATTGAAAAATATTGACATAGTATTTTTTATATGTATAAAAACTGTTTGAATTGCATTCTTATAATTGTAATGGCATTTGATTCTTGTATTTTATATAGATAAAAAAAAAAGTTGTATTTTAAAATATTAATGTGATCCATAACAAAAGATGATATCCCCCAAAGTCCCACCCACCATCATATGCATAGTGTTGTCCCTTGTTTATTCCTGTTTTGGTGTTGCAGTTTGAGCTTAGTTCACCAAACAGGCTGCCATCTCCACGTGGGGCACAAATAAATGTAGATTCATGTTTAAGTTTGTTAAATAATTTATTTTTCTTGAAAAAAAAAATTATGTTATCTTATTACAATTAGCATTTTATAAAAGGCTAAATTCAAAAATTAATATTTCATAACAAAGAAAAATCAATCATTGTTTAAAAAAGTTCCACATTTTCCATGTGTTTTACCTAAAGATGTGATACACTTCTGTGTCTTCCATTTCTTTTTTTGAGTAGTCCTAAAAATCACAGTTGTTATCTTAGAAAACTTAATAATATACTAAGAGAGCTCTATGGTAAACTATTGTAACCAACATTTGCTTTAAATGGATCAATCCTATGTGCCATATTCCCTTAGGTTACGTTTGTCATACAGGACAATACATGACTCAACGACAGACAATATTGATTAGGACAAGACTGGACAAATTGTCTCTGCTATTATCGATGAGGAGGACATTAACGTCTTTTGCACACATAAGACATCAAAGGCAACTCCCGACCCAGATTGTTTTGCCTTTTTGGGAAATTGCATATTTTGTCTAGTTACCATTAGTTTTATTAGTCTTAGTCCAGTAAATATCAAACACAGATAACACTGTTATGATTTGTCGGTGTCCTGTGAAACAAAGACGGTCTTAGCATCCTTGTCTTGGTGCCCACCGCCTTGAGTCATGTGTTGGCCCGCTTCAATGTCACCAATGTCACCGGCACTAAAGAAGCTTGACTTGCAATAGTGTCCACATAATCACTCATAAAGTAACGCCAAAAACACAAAAAAGAGTATAGGAATGACATGGACATGTCTACTCAAAATAATAATAATAATAATAATAATAACACTTTGTCTATTTCAATTGCAGATACATTTTTAACTTGTAATTCAAGTATGTTTTGTTATGTACAATAAGACCTTCACTAAATATGAACTCAAAATTAACATATGATATGATGTAAGGCCTTCACTAAAAATGGTATGGAGGTTTAATTTTACAGATCGACGCCTTCATCAAGGCCTTTAGAACCCATCATCACATTTGAATCTATCTTTTTGTCAAATTTCTTTTTCCTCCGAGCTTCAAATTCTTGAAATCCTTCCATCTGAGAAGATTTCAAATCTGATCATCTCATGTTTTAACCAAACTAATTTGACTTCAATGGCTAAATTGCAGCAAAATTGAAAATCAGGAAAAGGAGACAATAAAGTTTACCGATTGGAATTGATCCATAGATATGGGATTATTATGCAGTGAAATATTTTGTAGAGTCTTGCATTCCTTCAATAAACTTGGAGGTATCTGTTGAGCAAATGGTGTGAAAATTAAGTTTTGAATTGGGTAAAATTTTGATGCTCATAAACTACCCCTAATCTTTCTACATTAAATTACATAAACACCCATATGTAGTAAATATTTTTGCAAACCTTTTTGACTTTGTTATGGTCCAAGCATAGTGACTTCAGGTGAATGAGATTGCTGACCGAAGGAGGCAGTTCTTCAATAGAATTTTCTAGAAACCACAAAACCAAGAAACACGAAGCTGATTCAGTGAGAGATGTGAATAAACAATGTTTTATTTTTTTTTTCTTTTTCATTTCTCCAAGATCGATTATCTATTTGCAACATGAAGTTGAGTACACTAATCAAGAAAAAAAGAGAAGCAAATATTAAATAATTCCTTGAAACAAAGAACTTTACCATTTGCTTGTAGCTCTTCTAAAGAATAACAGCTGCCAATAGATTCCGGAAGAAATTTCAGTTGATTATTTGACACATTCAACAGCAATAACTGCATATTCAAAAGCTCAATTGAGTTCTAAAATTTCAAAATTGATTAGTAAGTTGGTAGATGAAGCCACTTACATTGCGCAAGCTTCCAATGGTTTCGGGCAGGTTGGTTAACTGGTTGCCCGAGATGGATAACCGCTCAAGTTTCACAAGTTGGCCCACTGAAGAAACAGTTGTAAGGCCTCATTTGTTACACAGGACAAGACAGAACAGAACAGAACAGGACAGAACTGAACAGTACAGAGCATAACAGACTTGGACCGTTTCACCCAAAAAGGTGGGACAAGACCTCGCTCTCAATCTCTCTGTCTCTGGAAAAAGACGTAAACGCCCTCTTTGTCATTACCATTAAAATAACCCTAGAAAGTTTGTCATGTCCTGTCCAATTCTGACTGTAGTGTAACAAACGCAGCCCAAGGAATCAACATAAAGCCTTAAAATTAGGAATTTATGAAAAATAAGACATTCAACGTCTCATGAAAATTGCAATGTCTGACTCTGCACGGTTTCCAAGGTTTTTTTTTTTAGAAAAAAAAAAGGTCAAAAACGCAATTTTCATGGGATGGAGGAAATGATGAACTAGATTTGGTGTTATTACATTCATCGGGTAAAAAAGTAACTCTATTTTGATCGAGATTTAATAGCTTCAAAGACTGAAGTTTTCCCACGTTCCCTGGAAGGCGCTCGATTATATTTTCAGCCAATATCTGAAAACAAAGTGTTGTAGTTTCAGATATTAATATTTGTTGATTAACGCATACAGACATGTTAGTCGTTAATCATGAGACATCCCACAAAGCCCCAAAGTTAGCAGCTTAAATAAGAATTCTATTTGTCAATTTAAAGAACTGATTCAAGAAAAGGTCATGAAAGTTGTAAGCTTGATCATTCAACCTTACCCTGAAACAAAGTTGTGAATAGAATGATGCATGCTTGGTAAAGTTTAGAATTGAAGATTAATACTTTATTTCATATATATAATAGATTAAATAGAAAAGATAAATCCAAATTTGTGATTCTTACCAGCCTCTGCATGTTTACGAATTTGCTGATCTCCTCTGGAATGTCAGCTGTGGTAGCAGAAAGAAAAAGTTAGCAAGGGAAAGTATTAGATTTTTCTATTAAGTCCTTCTTTCTGTGTTAGGTCAAAAAGAAACATCCATATAGTTTGTCAGATTAAGTTGTGTAAAGAGAAAATGTACCTAATTTGTTGTGTGTCAAATCAAGAGTCCGTACTGATCTATCCAGCTCAAGAACTTCATCTGGAAACGACTGGTTCATCACATAAACTTAATTTAGTTTTGAAACATGTCTGATTAACTAATCAAACATAAATGTCTTAGCTAATTGGTTAAGAATATAAACGATTATTTCATCTCCATAGATTCAAATGGCTAAAACCCCTATTCCTATATGCTAATGTAACAGGAAAACACACATGGTGGACATTTTTGCCCATGTTCAGGATGGATTATGTGTTTGAATAATTTCTTTTGATACATAAATTAAACAAATATGAACAAAAAGCCGATATCTTCCCACGGAAATTAAGCTATTTATCTTAACACAATAGTTTTTATGGAAAAATCAAAATGAAAGAACGTATAAAACAGTTGCAGATAAGGGTATTTAAATATACAGATAAGAGTGTGTGCCTTTAATTTGGCGTCGCGTAAGCCCACAATGCCGGTGGCGCTCCACCGTGACAGGCGGTCGGCTTTGGAATCAGCAGTCTTGCTGGCAGCACAACCCATTGATCCTCGCTACCGGATTGACCAAGGACGAAGAGGGTCTCGTATTTACTCCAATGTTTCAATTATTAAAAGGGATTTCTTGTGGGTTTAATCTTGTTTCTTCGAAATCGAAATGAATCAAAGAGAACAAGAGAAAACCAATAACGATGATGATGATGAAATGGGGAAGACTTTGAACGACAAAACCTGGGCGCTTGTCTTGTTCTCTCTTTTGGGTTTGACAGATATCCAAGTTTTAGAGAAACTGATCAACGAATCTGATTTGTAAGTTGTTATATTTTTGGTAAATCACGTCTTTCTTTTTCTTTGTATTTAAGAAAAAATCCAACTTTTCTAAGCGAAAATTCAACGTTTGTTTGGCTACGCAACCACACGGATTAACGGATATATAATTTTATTGGAATGCCTTTGTTTTTTAAGAATGAATCATATAAATTAGCATTTGTCTCCACAAGAAATTTGATATATCAAAATTTGTGTTTTAAATTGTGATCTTGTTTGAGTTCTTTTATCAAGATTGATAAAAAACATGATATTTATATTTATGCAAATTCATCTTTTATATATGGCTTAAGGCTTAAAGACTTGATATAATATCCGTATTTTATGGCTATAATGTTTGTCTAATTTTGATAAAAAATGAAATTTTTGAAAAATTAAATAAATAAACTAATTAAACTACAAAAATAAATAACTAAAATCATAACAAATGTAATAAATATGTTGGATAATTCAGAATCCTCGACAAAATCTCATCTAAGGGTAAAATAGGAAAGTTCTTTTTTATTAAGTTTATTCTTAGTTTTTAGTCAAACACCTTATGTTTTAGTATAAATATAGGACCTTAGTTTTTTCTTATTTGTATGAAAAAAGACCCCTCTTTGTTTTGCTTATTAAGGAAGAGCCTTTGGCACCAAGTAATTGCCCCATGTTCTCTTTTTTTCCTTTCCTTTTCTTTTTTGTTTTGCTTGTGTTTGAAGCAAAACCAACATTTGTTATCGGAGCCTAGGGATTGTGAAGACCTAGGGCAGTTAGTTTGAGAGTCGGTTTCAAAAAAAAGTGTAGCGTTTCGCTGTAGGGCAGACGCAGCGGGAATCGGGTTACATTGAAGGGGGTGTGATTCAGTTTTGATCGCAAGCAACCCCATTTTCTCTTGATCTGGTTTGTTCTAAGGTAGCGAGAGACTAATAGGAGGCGCGGAAAAGACGAGCGAAAATACATCAAAGTGGGTGGCTTTGATTTGGTTCGTTTTGCGGGTGACGGAAGACGGTAAAGGTGGTCTTGACCTTGTCTTGTTGTTTGGTGGAAGATTGCTCTCGGAGCAAGCTTGATTAATGAGACTGGGGTTGTCAAAAGAAGAATAGGATGTCGTTGGTAAAAGAAGAAGGTTCGATGACGTATCAAGTTTCGATTTTGACTCCAACAAATTATCCGGTGTTTTCAATCAAAGTTAAGTTGATTATTGATGCATACGACATATGGGGGACGGTTGAATCGATGGCGTTCGTTGCAAGAAAATCTTGGAATATGATTGATCGGAAAAGGTATGGTTGTCAAGACATGAGGGGAATGGACAAAAAACATGGTGTGAACATTAAGGCGGTGGAAGTTCAAATCGGGTGGCTTTGGGTGTGGTCAAGGAAGAGGTCGTTGATCCAGGAAAAGTCAAGATGGTAATGAACATGTCCAAAGAGATGTCATGGTATATGTTACATGTGTTGTTAACAATCAAATGGATTGAGAGAAGACTTTTGATGTGACCGAGGTGAAGGTTGGGTGTCCGGGAAAAGTCGAGAATTGAAATGAAAGACGAGATGAAGAAGTTGCTAGGAATGAAGATGTACGAGATTCTGAATTAAGCGGGAGAATGTTGGATAATTCAGAATCCTAGGACAAAATCTCATCTAAGGGTAAAATAGGAAAGCTCATTTTTATTAAGTTTATTCCTAGTTTTTGTGTTTAGTCAAACACCTTATCTTTTAGTATAAATATAGGACATGTGTTTTTTCTTATTTGTATGAAAAAAACCTTTCTTTGTTTTGCTTATTAAGGAAGAGCCTTTGGCACCAAGTAATTGTCCTCTGTTCTGTTTTTTTCCTTTCCTTTTCTGTTTTCTGTGTTTGAAGCAGAACCAACAAAATAATTATATGTGAAGTGAGAAATAAATCTTAACTTCAAAATAAAAAGTTAGATTAAAGGAACTAAAAGTGTCAATTAGCCCAACTAACTTTGACTTTGTATTGGAAGCACTTTGCTAGAATATTTTTAGACAGGGAGGAATTGAATGGAGAAGAGATAGAAAGAAAGAAGATTATTGGTGGATAGATGGAGAGAAAAAAAACTTAGAAGGTTTTTGGGATTCGTTTTTAATCAACTTTTTGACTTTTAACTTTTTTAAAAAGTTAAAAATTACCAAAAGTTGTTTGGTAAATTGAAAAGTTCTTTTCAAATCAACTTTTAGCTAAGAATGAAAAGTTGGTCGGACAAAAAACAGGAAGGGAAATCTCCACAAAAGTCCTAAAATTTTACCCTAATTTACGAAAAAGTCTCAAACTAAAATTTGTTTACGAAAAAGCATGAATTACCGGTAAAAATGTCGATTTGACCCCTTTTTTCCGGTTTACCGGTTTTATTACTTACATGTTTCACTAAAGTCTCATTATTTTACCCTAATTTACGAACAAGTCCCAAAATAAAATTTACTAATGATTTGGACCTTTTCTTAATGTAACATACATTTTTATCAGTTTCATTGCTGACTTAGACACCTAGTCATTAAATTAGCTGATAAGATGAATACGATGAGTTATATAATACCACATTTACTGTAAAATTTGATACCCATCTCATTGGCTCATTTATGACTATGTACCAACAAAATGTGTTTCCAATAAAAAAGGGCAGAAAACGAGTTGATGTCTGATGAGATGAATATATTGGGTTACATAAGATTAGATAGACAATTTGATATTTCTTATAAACGTAAAAAAATAACGCCGTTGTTGTTAGTTTATGTAATTATTGTAGTCTTCGTTGGATGCATTTTATGTTCCAAAAAGATATCCAATACATCAGGATATCAAGTTTTATGCTAAACATAGCATTACTCCGTATGCGAGCATAAATCTCAGCTTCGTTATCGGCCGCTATTTCGGCTCTCTCGGAGTTCCGGATATAGGGTTTTTCCTTGCTCTTTTCCCTTGCATCGAAGCTATATAACTCAACATATCCATCACGTCATCTCATTTAATGACTAGGCGTCTGGGTCAGCAAATGAAACCGGTAAAATGTATGTTACATAGACAAAATGGTCAAATCATCAGTAAATTTTATTTTGGGACTAATTCGCAAATTAGGGTAAAATAATGGAACTTTAGTAAAACAGGTAAGTAATAAAACCAGTAAACCGGAAAAAATGGATCAATTCGTCGTTTTTACCGGTAATTCATGCTTTTTCGTAAACAAAATTTAGTTTGGAACTTTTTCTTAAAATAAGGTAAAATTTTAAGACTTTTTTGGAGATTTTCCAAACAGAAATTCTTATCTTTTTGTGAATTTTAGCTTTTTGTTATTTAATCCCAAACATACCCCTATTGGCATGTAGGTGACACAACAACATGACACGAAAATACACCACCCTGCATTATCGGTACCATAGGGATGAAGGGGTGACCCCTCCCACCACCCTTGTAGATAAAAAGCATATTAAATATAATTAAAAGCCCATATTATTAATATAAGCAAATTGTTTTAATGCTAACACTAGAAAGTTCCCCCCCACGTTGCGGGGGCGGAAGGTGATGCTTTTGCGTCAAAGTAAAGTACATTGCCCAAGTTGTTAGCCACAATAAAATACGTTGCCATTGTAGGAGATTTGTCCATTTACAAACGTGTAAATGTTATAATAAGAAAATACAATCCAATAATTGGATAGAATTTCCACAGGACAATGTGTTAATAAGAAAATATATCAAAGTGTTGCAGTATGCTATAAAAATAAGAATAAAAAATAAAAATGTACATTCGCACAACAATCTCCCTATACGGAGATTTAATGACCAGATTCACACTATTAGAATTATAACAAATTTTCTTACCTTGAAAAGCTTAGGAGCATAATATTTAGATCGGTAACATTCTTCTCTTCTCGGAAGATTGCACTTATGTTAGTTCTACTTACGCTAGATAAATAAAAAAAAACGTAGCTCCTTGCCCACCCTCGAAAGGGCCAAGGCTTTATAATCGGGTATAACTCGAAAGTCGGATTGTGCTGGATTCCTGCATATAGAAGCTGACCATACCATTATAAATTAATGCCACAACTATTAGATAACGAAATGATGTGTATTAAGGCATTAAGGGCCAGAAGAAGTTGGAAAATATTACCTCATTGCGTTTAATCCGGACAACATAAACTCTGCTACCTGCCCTGCACAGTAATTACATGAAAACATTAGAAAGCAAAAACCCATGATAAAATATGAGCATACACATTCATATCATATGACACACACATACAAAGTGGATCAGACATACACACATCCAAAATTTATTATGTATCAATAAGTACTTTTCAACATCAAAATTCAAATAAATTTTGAAAAAAAAGGATCATAAATCATTTCAACTCCAACTCACCCGATAAACATGATAATCTGAGCAGTTCTCTCTTCCTCTAAAAACACCTATCCTTGTCAAAATTGAAAAACATGGATGTCTTGCCTGCAATATATAAATAAAAAGGGAAAACGAATGTTTATATAAAATTAGAATTCAATTTAATAAATATTAAAAAGTAATAAAACAAATCTATCTTGCGGTCTTGACATCATCCGAAGGATTGTCCCCAATCATGCAAGCATTGCCAATATTTATTGTGATATCACATGGGCGGATACGACTTTTCAGCATTCCTATCTAAACAACAAAGATAAAAATCATGATTTAATAGTTTACAATACAAACTTTCATAACAGGGACATACTTGTCGTTTAACCTTCAAATGCTCCCCACGACCTTAGAACAACTTAGGCGGCTCAACCTTAAAGTTTCCAACAGGGACAGAGTTGTCATTTCACATTCGCCACTCTTGGTTAAATGTTCAAATACCTTTGTGAAAACTACCACCGAATTCAACGTCTTTTCTTCCTAAAAACATTTGTGAATCAATTTTAAGTAAAAGGAAATCGAAAATTGACCATATAGTAAAATACAAAATTTTAGTGTTATTTAACATTTTCTAAAACCTATAAAAATATTTCATATCGTTAGTAATTTATTATACTTTTACCATTTTATATGACCAAAAAGGAAAAAAAAAATCAAATTTAGACTAAATCATAAGGCATAAACCGATACACATATGGTTGAAAATATTTTCTTACTATGCCTTGTATATAACTCTGATGCTGTAAAATGGTTGTCTTCTAAGTTTCTGCACGCACACGGTCCTGCAAAACTATAATAATTAGCCTAAAGTTTAAAGAATAAGACCAAGTGGAAGTAGAAAATTTTAGAAAACGTAAATACCTTGATATGTTAAAATGTGAAACATATCGGTTTCATAGTATTCTAACAAACAACATTTAATATTGAAGTGCGACATATATATAGTAATGTTGTAAAAAGAAAATACATGTATCTCCTCAAAGATATCCGGCCATGTGATATTCTTCTCCCGCATAAAAAAAAGGTTTGATGTTACTTTTTTTAATGCAAAAGACAGAATATGAAGCCGACTTCTGAGTTTTCTTCAATTGTTGCCTGCCACATTGCACTTCAGATCTGTAAAACTATGTTCCATACGATGTAAATGTATTCTACAACAAAATTGCAAAGGGTGAATTTACCTTTTTACATGATTTTCACAGCAAAATGGCCAAGATACTCTGTTCATCCTCATCCTGTTGAACTAATGCTTTGGAGGTCCCGAGAGTTTGAATTCCAGATCTTCTTGCTACCTCCTTCCTCATGATGCTCTCTTACTTCCCCTGTCTCTAATGTGTAAAATTCGAAACATTAAAATTGATTAAGAGAGAAGGCGGAAGATTGAAAGTAAATAATATCAAAAAACTTTAGGATTTCCTTCAACAACTTTTCGTCCACCCAGAACCTCACAACAGAACCTCTCTGTGAGGTTGGAAATGGATTTTTTTTCAAAAAGCCATGAAACTGCGTTAGTAATAGAGGCGAAGTTTCAGAAGAATTAAGAAATCGCTGACCACGGGGTAAACGAAACTTCGATTGACATCCCCAAATGTTTATGATACAACACAGGTAACGATTTTTTTTCCTTTAAATTCCCCAGAATTTACAGAAAACAGGAAAGAAGACATGGATAAAAGAAGAGAATAATAAAAAAAATCCAAAACTAACCTTCATGAAATTGAAGAAATTGAGGTGTACATGAACTAATAGGGATTTAGAGTAGTCTTAGGATAGCAAAACCATCGATGGAAAGCCGAGTTCATACATTCCTCCAGTCGAAACAATGGTCTCACCATCACAGTGTATAATAATAAAAAACATAAATAATATCAACCCAAAATATATTTTTATCAACTTCACTTCATCCTAAGACCCTTATAACTAAAAATATATTTTTAGAAAGTAATTCAAAAGCGTTAATCTCATATATTGTATAACTTATTAACATGTATATATATATATATATATATATATATAGCCAAATTACTTGCATACAAACATGAATGATTTACTATGATAATCAAGTTAAAGAAAAATTACCTTTTTTTTCTCATATGATGCTTTACATGGACTTGACTTTGTTTGCTTTCCTTTTCTAACTGCGTTCTTCTTAACAGATGCGTGTAACTTCTTTCAGCTGCATAATGCATTATAATCTCTTTCAACTGCATAATTAATACCTTAGGTGTTAACTCTTTCTGTTATGAAACATTAAATAACAATACAATTTTACAAAAAAATTATACATTGCAATATGTTTTTTCTTTCTCATTGTTTCACGTTTCATTATTTATAAAAGTTACCCTTCACATTCAGTTCATGCAGAGTAAAACATTAAAAGCATGAAGAACATACCATTGTCATTTTCTGCAACTTATTCTGTTCAAATTAAAGCAACAATTTAAGCTAATTTCATTATTTGATGAAATGATGATCAAAAGATAATTTAGAATTAGAACAATATGAGAATTAGTACCAAAGGAAACACCACCACACAGCTCCATGGATGCGGCCCTTTTCAGAATCTGATTCATGCCAAAATCATAGTGTTGTTTTCCAAGCATTTTAACAAACGGTTGGCGGGCATAGGATATAACCAAGTCTAGTAAGGAACCATCCGGGAAAAAAGTTGACATCTCATCAAAGTTGTCTCATTTACACATTATTAATGTCTGCAAAGAAGGTGAAAAGTATTAACCAATGACCAAAAAGATGTAATCACAACATCATAGGAAAAGGGTAAATCTGGAAACATAAACGAAATTGAAGAAGATAAAAAACCTAGCAGTCAATTTACCTAATGTTATTAGTATGGCGGCAACGGGAAGAGAAGGTGGAGATACCGGTCCTCTTTTCTCTGAAACAAAACCACAACTGTCATTAATTAAATGCAAAAACTTTAAATTGAGAAATCTAAAAACATAATAATCTTACCCTATGTGTACAATTTCCAGAACTTAAAAGAGATACAGAGAAACATGGACGAAGGCTTATAAAAACAGACTGACAGGAAATGGTTAAGGAAGTTTTTGGCTGCATAGTTTCTGCTCCAATTTAACCTACTTCCAATCTGTTCTCGTATGCAGGTAAAGATGAACATAGATAGATGTAAAAATAAATACACACACGGTTTCCTTCTCTTTGGCCCCATCGGAAACCTTTTGTTCCCACTGATCGAACCCCGTTCACGTTGAACCACTGTGGAAGCAAACCCACCGAACACCCCCTTCTTCTTCACTGTTCGCGACACCTAACTGGAGAGCAATGGCAGACCCCCTCCAGCGGCGGCCGTTGCTGCTACGGTGCGTTTTCGTTACTACCGACCGGTTACAAATCCAAGCCACCCTTTACCAAATCCTTCTTCTATTTCGTTCGGGTTGCGTCATCATGATCAGATGGAGACAGTATGAGGCGGTGGATTGAATGGCAGTGGCGATGAAGGAAAGAGGAAAAAGAACAGAAGGAATTATAGCAACAGGAGTAAAGGTATGGAGAGAGTGGAGGCGGTGGATTGGATGGCGGTGGCGATGAACGTTAGCAAAATCGATCGGTCGATCGGTGGGGTGGGGGTGGTTTTAGGGCTAGACGTTAGCAAAATCGATCGGTGGGGTGGGGTGGTTTTAGGGCTTCTAGACGATTTTGATGGGAGAAGAAAAGGTTTGATAAGAACAAAGAAACTGAACGACGGATATTTGTTATCATGGAGGAGCGCAAACAAAAATAGAGGGACCGGAAATGTAATTTAAAGGACTAAAATTGGTCAAAATGTCTCAGGTTTACTATTAAAACCTTTTACAACTTTAACATATATATATAATAACGTGACATTTAAGAAATTAGGGTTCGTTACGTTCATAGATTCCTTTGAAATCGTATCTGGATGAAAAAAAATCAATGGAACTGAATTACATTGAATTAAGTAAAATCTATATTTGAAGGAATTTATCATTCTTCTACTCCTATTGAAAATACAAATTTATCCTTCTATATGAATCAAAAAACAAATACGACTCTTTTATTTAAAAAAAAATTACTACATAGTTTGTAATTGGTTTTTTCATTGAATTCATTTTAATACGTGACCACATTTACTGTTTATTATAGTTAAAGTGAAATTTAAAATCAGTTAGATTTTATAAAGACAATTAGAAAAATATAGCTTAATAATAAATAGATTATAATGAATCATAGTTAACTTATTTTTAAACACAAGTAATAATTACAAAAGAATAACTAAGGTTGTGTTTGGTTCGCAGAATGTTTTTGAAAGGTATTTAAGTTATTTGCACAATTTACCTTTAAATTTGGTTGATGGGTAAATGTCACGGTAGTCCAACAAGCTTTTCGGTTTTGGTTTAAAAGGTCTTTAATGTTAGTTTTTGGCACTATAAAGGCATATACTTTCTTGACCTTTTCGGTTTTGGTTTTAAAGGTCTTTAATGTTAGTTTTTGGCACTATAAAGGCATATACTTTCTTGTGACCTGTTAAAAAGGGTATTAATCTCTTTTTTTCCGGTTTCACCGGTAAAAAGGATGACATGGTCATTATCCTTTGAGTTGTAAAGTCAGATTTGGGGTAGTAAAGTCAAGCCACACAGAAATCATAAATACAATGTTTTCTCCAACAAGGATCCGACGAAGGTTACATCCACGATGCTTTGATTTTTCCATTCTTCATCTTCAAACCTCAATATCTCATAATCTGTTTCTTTTCTTCAAATTTCAAGATTCACCATCATAAATATTCAATTCCCTCCCAAACCAACATCAAAATTTTCAGTTTGTTCACAATCTCATGAAGACTACTGCATCTTTCAAGGATTCAACCCTCTTTGGAGTTTCACTTTCCAATCACAGTCAAGTCGATTTCAGCTCATCAATATCTTGAACAAACATCTTTCCCCATCTTCATTGTCAACCACGATGGATGCTGATGGAGGCTTTTCTAAATCCTTATTCTTCACAACTTCAAATCCAATGGAAGAACATATCCAATCAGAAGCTCAACTAAGATAATAATGTTATAATCAAATTAAGTCATTAGGTTTGAAAGAAATTACTTCTTCATTGTGCATCATCACAAAGATGTTGTACCACATGCTCAACAAGTTGTACCTTATAACGCTCCGTCAATATCATCTTTCATCAAATAAAACACAGATCGGAGAGTTTAAGCTAGTAAAAAAACACAAGTTCTTCGTCAGGGAATAGAGTACAGACTTACCACATATTTTTCTTTACTTAATCATTGAAGGTTTTGAGGGGTTTTCAGTTCTAGGAAGCGAAGAAACTGAAAGACCGGGAAGAGAATCAAAACTATCGATTTATGAAGGGACATCGGCGTTTCCAATTAACCAGAATGGTCACATCGGCATTCCAAATCGTTGTTCGAATGTCTTCGAAACGTGACCCCGATGTATGATCGGTGTAAAATTAAAAACGGAGAACATTCCAATCCACTTTGCGTTCCAAGGTATTATGTCTCGTATGATTCTCTTGATCAGAATGGTGAGAATTAAAGAGGTGTAACCGGTGAAACCTTTGGCTTAGGGTATGTGTGAAACTGTGAGTTGGATTTATACATTAATTCCTTTTTTTCTTAATCTAGAAAAGCCACATCATCCATAGACACCGGGTATTATAAGTCATAGGTACCTTTTTAACCGGTAAATATGAAGTTTATACACTTATAAAACGAAAAAATAACATTAATGACCTTTTAAACCAAAAAAGAAAACTTTGTGGGCTACACTAACATTTACCCTTTGTTTGATATGTTGAAACTGAATTCCATGACAACCAAACGTATGATAGATTATAATTTGATCGGATTTTAATTCTTTCAAATTCGAATTTACTCGACCGATTTATTCCTTAAAAATGCATTATATTATGCTTACGAGACTCTCCTTTTGTTTCTTTGTCATCCAAAATTTCGATAATTATCAACTCAACAAATTTAAATATTTTATTTGAAAAACGTGAAATACATATAACAATGCTAAATCACAACAAAAAAAAATAACATATATTGTATAATAAGAAAATAATTCCCAACGTATAAAGTCCTTCAAATCCTCAAACCTTATGCCACAGCAGGCATATCCTTCAACCATGAATCCAATGGCTTCCCAATTGAGTACACAATGAACCCAATCTCCCTAAGTTTCTGTGGATTCACAACATTCCTTCCATCAAACACAAATGCTGGTTTCTGCATACTATCATAGATCTTCTTATAATCCAAGTTCTTAAACTCATCCCATTCGGTCAAGATGCAGAGTCCATGTGCACCCTTAGCCGCCTCATACGCATCCCACACCACACTCACTTGCTTCACCGAGCTCGGGCTCATGGGCTGCAGGTGCACCGGGTGGTCCCAGTCAAACTTGTTCATCGAAAGATCCCTCTGGATTTGTTCTTCAGTCACTTGTGGATCATATATGTTCAAATGAGCCTTATCTCCTAGCAACCCTTTGCACACATCAATGGCAGGAGTCTCCCTCGTGTCACCCGTGTCTTTCTTGAATGCAAACCCCAAAACCGCAATCTTTTTGCCCGAAACTGTGTTAAACATTGATGAAACAATCCGGTTCACAAAACGATTCTTTTGGTAATCGTTAACTTTAATCACTTGTTTCCAATAGTTTGCCACTTCGGGTAACCCGTTGCATTCACAAATGTAGACCAAGTTGAGAATATCTTTTTGGAAACAAGATCCACCGAACCCAACACTGGCGTTCAGGAACTTGTGTCCGATCCTGGTGTCCTTCCCCACTGCGTGGGACACCTCCGCCACGTCAGCCCCAGTTGCTTCACACAGCGCTGACATGGCGTTCACGGACGAGATCCTTTGCGCCAAAAACGCATTGGCGGCCAGCTTGGACAACTCGGCCGACCAAAGATTGGTACAAAGGATCCGTTCCTCGGGCACCCAATGAGCATAAACAGCTTTCAATGCCTTAATTGCCCTTTGACCATCCGGGGTTTCTCTCCCTCCGATCAACACACGGTCAGGGGCAAAAAGGTCTTCTATCGCCGTCCCCTCAGCGAGAAACTCGGGGTTTGACAAGATCTGGTAGTTCACCCCTTTGCTGTTGTGTGTGAGGATCTTTTCGATAGCTTCAGCGGTTTTCACGGGAACCGTTGATTTCTCAACCACGATCTTGTCAGATTTTGACACGTCAGCAATCATACGAGCAGCACTTTCCCAGTAGGTGAGATCAGCAGCTTTTCCAGCACCGAGGCCTCGAGTTTTTGTGGGTGTGTTGACTGACACAAAGATGATGTCAGCCTCAGCAACATGCTTTTCAACATCAGTGCTAAAGAACAGATTCTTGCCACGACACGACTTCACCACGTCATCAAGCCCTGGCTCATAGATCGGGAGCTGATCACTGTTCCAGGCATTGATACGGGAGACTGATATGTCAACCACGGCTACCTCGATGGCTGGACATTTGAGGGCAATAACTGCCATTGTTGGACCTCCAACATAACCAGCTCCAATACAACAAATCTTCACCATTATCCTTCCACGAATCTGTATAGCCTATAAACATAAGAAAAGATTAGATTTTTGTTAAATCCCACATATATTTCACCTTGGGAATGCAACAAAATTCAGAATCTTGATCGAAAGTTTGACCCTTTTTGTTGAAAAGATAAGAACATGATGTAAGATGCCATTTGCTGAAAAATTCAATGTGTGTACATACAGAATAAGACCCAAAACCAGTATTTCTTGAGAATTAAAGCATTTATCATACAGAATTATTAGATGAAGGTGAGATGAAGCTACAATACTACGTCACAACACATTTTTCTATATGAAATCAAGGGAAAAAAATGTTGAAGAAAGTGCATAAATTGGGAAAATCTAATGAATGAGGAAGAGCATTTGGGAATTGGGATCAAAGTTTGTACCTTTCCTGTGAAAGAAGTTGCAGAGAAAGAAAATGGAAGAGAAGTCGTTTTCTGCTGAAGTTGAGTGAGGGAGGAGATCTCTTTAAATACCCATAAAATAAATAACTTAAGATCTGAATTCCTAGGACACTCAAAAACCAAGCAAAGTGCCAAAAGTGAGATTTAGAACATTCAATACGTTTTTAATACCATATATACCTTTCAGTAGTTAACAAGGGAATTTCAAGTGCTATCTACTTAAGTTTTTTTTATTTTCTTTTCAATTTTTCAGTCCCATTGATGTTATTATAATAATATTAAAGTCGGAATTTTGGCAATTTGTTCACTTTTTACCTTTTAATGGTGGGGTAGAACAGAAAACCGAGGTTACTAGTTAGATTATTGAGTTGAATTGACCTGAATTTATTTATAAACAAAAGCTTCATTTTAAGCAACATTTCCATTCTTCCTTTAACGTTAAAATCTGACCCAAAAACATGAGCTTTTGGTGAAAATTTCAGGTCAAAAAGGAAACTTGAGTAATCAGAAAAGAAAAGATGAACATGAATGATGATGCAAGAAAAACAATTAATATAAAGGGGGTCGATGGTGAATGTTGAGTGAGATTGAAGATATGATTTAAAAACAATAAAAAATGTCATGATTAAAGAGAGCTTGATTTGAAAGGAACGCATAGTTAAGAGGGTTTTGATGGAGATTAAACATGCTAAATGCTAAATTCCTGATAAAATGGGCTTCAACCAGCTACTTGAAGAGGTGGGCACCGGCAATGAACCTTCAAATCTACTCCTTTTTGACAGAGGGGGTGAAAACTGAAATTGTTTTTCGATCACAAAAATAATAATAAATAAATAACTAAAATCAAATAAAAGTTATGTATTTCCTCATGAATAGTTTTCGCAGGAGATTAATAGCAATTTCACAATAGAGTTTTTTAACAGATTTTGGGCCCATTCAAAAATTGATTTTGCTAACTAAAGTTAATTAGGCATTCGTATTATTGCAAATATGTGATCATTTGGCAAAAATAATACTAATAATAATAATAATAATTTTGTTAAAAAAGTCTCTTTAAACTTCGATTATATTTGTTATTTTCTCTAAATTTAGTGACTAAAATGGATGAATCATATTACCAAAAAAAAAACACATTTTTACTGATATTATTATAAAAAAAAAAAATTACTACATATTGATAAATAATTTTACTATTATTTGGTAAATAGTTTTGAAACTAGTACATATTGGTAAAATATTTTTCCATTCACCAGGTTTTAAAAAAAAAAAAAAAAAAAAAAAAAAAAAAAAAAAAAAAAAAAAAACCCACTTTTACAAAGCTTTTTACAAAGTGCCCTATTTTTAGCCCAAAAAAAAATTATGGTTGTATATGGTAGGTATTTTTAATTTTTTGTACTCACATGGTAGCATCTGTTGCACCCATGGAATAAAGGAATATACGTAGGAATGTATCATCGTGTATCCAATAAACTAAACGGACAAAAGTATTTTATGACGCAGACGTACGTATCACGTATATGTATAAAATCATTAATGTATTTGCTTTGGTTTCGGACTTGGGTCACCGATCCTGCCCATCAATAATAGTTCGGCCCATTCCTATAAGGCCCACAGGCCACACAGTTATCCTTCCATTTCCGTATAGGCATATACTTCCATTTCATAATCATTCCTTGTGTATGTAATATTTATAGTTTGACTTTGACATTTAGAGTTAAAAAATACATAATAAAATAACTAATAAACAATTAATTAATTATTCAACACGCCACAAAGAGGAAATGTAGAAAACTATGTAGCCTTCTTGGAAACAAGAAAACCCGACGTTACTTGCAAAGCACAATTTAAATTCATTCACATTCACATGTGCACATTTGACATTTGAAACTAAGCTCGATCTTCATCCTCCAAATATGGAAAAACCACCACCACCACCACCATCAACCACCAGCATGAGCCCCATGGCCACTCCGGTTAGCAACCTCTATGACTCGTATGAGTTCAGAGCCATTTCAAAACAGCTAAACCGGGCAATCAAAGGCTCCAACAACAACAGCCCCTTGTCTCCTTACTCATTTTATTTGAAATCTGCAACCCCTTTTTACTCGAAACAGGTGAAAAGAATATGTGGAACAACTAAAAACAAGAGGGTTCTATGCTTAAAGACTCAAGACTCATCACAACCACGTGCCAAGGGATTTGTCTCACGCCTCTGGGCAAAGGTTAAAGGAAGATTTATACAGACCCATTGATCCTATTCTAAATTCTAAATTCTAAATTTCAATTTGTGCATCTTTTGTGTAGTATATCATATGTATGAATTAATGATCGAAAAGGGCCAGATATATCATTCAGTTGGCTTGTATAAATTGAAGTTTGTGGTGTAACACAGCCGGATAAGGTCATGAAATGGCAACCAACTATTCCAATTGTACTTGAACCATTATTGATTACTGTGTGTTCTACCTAACTTCTAAGTCGCTAAAGTAAATTTCCTAATTTTGTTCCAATCAAGTTCAAGTCAACTCTGAGCCAAAATTTGACCCAAATCACAAAGATCACCTATTTTAGTACTGCGGAGTGCAGATGTTATGTACTATGGACTTGCCCTATATATTACACGACCTGCTATTCCTAGATCCTAAAAATGGTGAAAGATTAGGCAATGGTGTTCCCAGCAATTCACTAGATGTACGTACAACATTTTGGAAGCAGATTTCAAGTTTTCTAACAATATATGTTATGAAACACAAATAATGATGATTATAAGTTATAACACTAGCTATTCTGTCATGATTCCACGTAGAAGCAAACCAAAACGCGTATAGACAAAAAGATACGCAAAATCATAAACAGAGAAATACACGAGCAAACAAAATCAATGTCATGTTAAGTGTTCATTACAGTAGAGTGTTCAAAACCGGATATCTGAATATTTGGATACCGTATATTGATATCCGAATCCGTATACGAAGTTTCGGATATCCGAAATTTCGGATACAGATCCGGATATTAAATCGGATATCTAAAACTACTAAATTTAAAGAAAAAAACATTTTCATTATTCTCTTTATTTAGACATAATATATCATAAATCAATAATGTTTTTCTTTTCATTTGACTAATTAACCAATTAGGTAAGTTACCGTTAAAAATGTTATTAAATAACAAATATATAAAACAGAAAAATAAAAAAACTAAATGATAAGACATAAGTAAGTCAATAAAGTATATACAGGCACCCTAACTCTTACGAACTATTATATTTTGAAAAAAAATATTATAAAAATAATTAAAAAAATAAAACTTTCGGATATCGGATATACGAAAATTTAGAAAAGTATTATCCATATGTGAATCTGAAAAATCAGTAATCCAAAATTTCGAATAATTTCACATCGGATTTTTGGATGCATATATTTTTTAACACTCATATATAAGAGACTTACAAACTCAGTGTTAGCAATAAATTATTCAAAACTACAAGAATATGAAGTGAGTAGAATAAAAGCATTGACAAGAGGCAAAGGTCAGCACCGTAATTCTAAAACTCTTTAAAATATAATTTGTAAATCCTTATTTCATTTCATATTATTGTAATAACAAATGTTTTCACACAAAATAAAATCATATTTCAACTTGATTGTTGATTGTTGAAGGCAAGGTATTTTTGGTTCGTGTTAGGGAAGTTATTGGATGAAATCCTAAATATATTGAAAATGATGATGAATCATATTCGGATGAGGATGACACATCAATCCATGTTTCAAAGGTTCAAGATGATCGTAACACTTGAATCTTGGTATGTTTCATTATTGCCCTTTGTTATTTTAAAAGTTGCATTTTTGGTCCTTGTGTAGTACGCGGGGCGTACCACATGGTACGCTTAGCGTACAAGCTGTGAAGCGAGTACGCGGGGCGTACCACATGGTACACTTAACGTACTGATGCGAGGTGGGATCGGGACTCTGGACAGGTACGTGGGGCATACGCATATGTACGTGGGGCGTACGTGTCATTTAGTGAAACCCTAATTTATGGGGTTGGACACTGAATAACCACACATATGGCTCATGTTACCCTCATTTCTCTGCCTCCACTGACCTTATAACCTCATTTTGAAACCCTAGACATTTCCTTTGTGTTTTTGAGCTCATTGTGTGCTTCTTGGTGTGTTTAGGTTCATTATCAAGAAGGAGTTTGGTGCAAGGTTGTTGATCAAGGAAGAGCTTGTGGATCCTGATTCTCTACTCCAATTCCAGCTTGTTTAAGGTAAAAAGCTATGATCTTGTTCATTAGAAGCTTACATCTAGTTTATATGAGTTTTGGCCCCTTTTGGCCCCATGAATGGGATCTAGTGGTTTGACACCACTCCAGGAGCTATGAGTTGCCACTCTTGGTTCTGAGGTTCAAAGTCTATAAAGTTGGCACCTTTAGGGTTTAGAATCACCCATGCATGAGATTATGTCCATTCAGTGAAAGTAAAGTGCTATATCTTTAAGTTGGGTCATTTTGGGGCATGCAAAGTCACCAAGAGTGACTTTATGGTTCTAGACGCTTATTAGGGATTAGATATGTGGTTTGGACTTTTGGTCTTAAGCATTAAGTGCTTAAAGTGGTTTTTGGCTTAATGGGTGAGTATGTTGGGCGTACAAGTCTGTACGCGTGGCGTACAAGCCATTTAGCATGTACGCTTAGCCTACAGCTGAGTACGCCCCGCGTACTCAGTCTGTTGGGTTTTGTGTTTTGGGCTGCGAGGTTGGGCCCTTCTTTTGGGCTTAAGTGTGTGGGTTCTTGTTGGGCCATATGAGTGCAAGTGTTTTGTATTAGAAGAATGGGTGGGCTTTAGGGTAAGGCCCATGTAAGGGTTTAGGCCCAATTTAGAAAATTGGGCCAAGTATGGGCCTTGAATGGTTAGTTGGATTTTGGGCCTTTTGGATTAAAGGTTTGGGCCTAAGTCTTGGTCCAAACTAGGTCTCAACATTCTTAGTTGCCCAGATGGCGGCTTTCAAAGTAGTTGCTTGTTTGACCATTGGACCATAGTCCGCTGGCAATCCATTATCAAACTTGTTGACTTTGGAGAGTTTTGTTTGAACCAAATAAGGAACAAGCTTCGTTTTCTCCGTAAAACTTGTAGCATACTCGGTGACGCTTATTTTTCCCTTCTTCAGATTATGGAACTCGTTGTTGATTTCCAGAAGATACTGCTCAGAACAGTATTGCATTTTCAGCTGCACTAGAAAGTCTTCCCATGACATCTTACTAGCTTATCCTTTGGACATGGCATCAACCAGTAACTTCCACCAGCTCAATACCCCATTCTTCAATTATCTGACTGCGAGGACAGTCTTATGCTTGTTGCTACAGTTGCAACTAGCAAACACCATCTCCATTTCGGAGATCCAATCCATGACTTCCACCCTTGAACTTGCAACCATGTCCATCATTTCCTTCATTTCCTACCTCATTGTTATTTCTTCTAACCATTTGGGGTTCTACTCGACTAACAGTCCTACTTTAATTTCCTTCCTCTGACTGTTCTATATTCAACTCAAGTAGCTCAACAGGTGTCGTAGGCTCTCTACCGTTCTCATGGATTAGCTGCCTCATCTATTCCATTTGTTCAGCCATCATAGCCCGAATCGTTGCTTGGACTCCTGTCATCGTGAGTTGCTCTTGCGCAGATATCGCTCCTGGTGCATGCTCGACTACACGAGGCTCAAGCGGCTGCTTTCCATTAGGGTTTCCTAATCCGCTACGCGTTCTTACCATGACGTTCTATACACCAAAGCAGGCATTCAATGTATAGTGACGAGAATTAAGATAGAAAAGTTTAGACATATAATTCCCCTTATTACCCCGAAAAGTTATATGTCAATTCTAATATCGTAATTAAACGTTTAGAATCCTGAACACACCAATAGACCATACATTTGATCAATTAATAGCATCCTAAGTCATATAATGTAACATATAGCTATAACATAAATCATTAAGCACATAAAAGCAACTTAGGTATCTTCCCTAAAATAAGTTGGTGCTCGTGTCTATTTAGACATACTTCTTAAATATAGCAGACACTCATCTCACAATCATCGCTTGGCATTCTAAGTTTAAGTCTAGAAATCCTACAAATTCCTAATTCGCTTAAACTAATGCTCTGATACCAACTGTAACATCCTCAATTTCACATCCAGAAAAGACTTATTTGTTTATGTTTATTTAAAATTAGAGTATCATTTTTAAAGAGTAATATCGTGGAATTTGTTCCCAAAAACATGATAATAATATTATCAAAGCATTTCTAAAGAAATGTATTTTATTTATATTAAAAACATTGGGATGTCATCGTTAATACAGTACATAAGCATAAACGAAAATAATACAGACCTTAAACTAGTTAATCTAAACTATTGGCCTATAAGCATCCATAAATCGTTCATCATAACATCACACTTGTGCTCTCGTGTCACTACCTGTAATACAAGAAACTGAGTGGGTCAGACTTGGGGTCTGGTGAGCACATATAAGATAGAGTGTAATTTAACTTACAGAGATTCCCTAGACAAAAGTCCGGAAATGTCACTGGCGGAACTTCGGGCTGATAGCTACTAGATATCGAGCTCCTAAGGACTTCTAAACTTGCTAAAATATCCTATCTACTAAGGAGAAATTCGGACCAAATCAAGAGTAATCGAGAGAGAGAGAGAGAGAGAGAGAGAGAGAGAATGTTGTGGGAAAGGAATGAGCTTATAGCGTCTATTTATAGGCTGAGATTTAGGCATGCGCGCCGTATAAAGATCTTGTGCGCCGCACACATGGTCGATGTGCTTGCCCGGGTGTGGTGTCATGTGTTGGAATCTCGTTGGTGCTACGCGGCGGCTTCGAGAAGACTATGTGCGAGGTGCACATGCGTGCAACGAAATTTAAACTTCAAAATTACGTAACTTCTACATATGAGCTCCGTTTTTGACGTTGTTTATATCCACGCGTAGCTATCAACGGGATCTACAACTTTCATTTAAACTTTGTCGACTAATTTTGACTTTATGTATTTTTCACAGGCTTAGACTGTTAAAGCCCCTATAAAATGCATAACTTTGTCATCCGACGTCTGTTTTCGACTGTTTTTTTATCGTTGGAATCTTATTAACGAGATCTTCAACTCTCGTTTAGATTGTTTTGGCTAAAAATCAACCGATCTAAAATTCGATATTTGGGTTGTCTACTACTACGTTGAATCTTATAAAAA